TGATTTGTGAGAGCACTGCCAAATTTGAAATTCAAAACATGTAAATCACAGCAATTACAGCCAGAGTGCCAGACTTCTATTTTGCTGAAATTATCAGCCGCAAAAGGATTAATTCTGAGATGTTGGATATTATATGATGTTTGTGATGTTACTCTTAGTGTATATCCACACCGGGCAAGCTACGACTTTCGGAATACTAGCCCGATGGGCCCAATGCTCTGCCAATATAGTATGGTTTAAGTAAGCAAATTTTAATATAGGATCCCAAGTAAAAAATTTAGTTGACACGTTATTTCTAATATTCGTATTAATCGTATAATTATTAATTGATAAATATTGGGAAGGTGTGGAATAATGACAATGTGCTGAATTGTATTATATAGCCTACGAATTTGTTAAACTAATTTTGACTGTTGACTAAATCAATAGATTGACTAAAATCAATAGTTCTATAACAAATGTAAATCAAGTGCTCCTGTAGATCACAATTTTGCTTTTTGTGTTCAATAATTCTATCCGAGAGATTCACCATTTAAATATTGTAAACATAACTTTTGTCTTGAAGGTTCTATATATTGTGCACTGCATGGTGGACTGTGGACACACATTTCTGATTTGTTTAGACTTCAGTGTGTTGAACAATTAAGTAGCTTAGTAGTTTATGTTGCAGGTTGTATAGTATATAAAGAAAAGATATGTGATATAGAATGGTAAATGCTCAAATTATTCCTTTGCGAACAAAATGGTTGTCAGAATTTTGTTCCCGGCCTTCAAATTACTTAACCATTTTGTTATAATTATTCCATAGCGAACAAAATGGGTGTCTGAAATTTGGAGTCCATATTTGTACTCATTCCGCCATTTTGTTATAATTATTCCATTGCGAACAGATTGGGTGTCTGAAATTCGGAGTCCATTTTTGTACTCATTCCGCCATTTTGGTATAATTATTCCATTGCGAACAGATTGGGTGTCTGAAATTCGGAGTCCATTTTTGTACCCATTCCGCCATTTTGTTATAATTATTCCATTGCGAACAGATTGGGTGTCTGAAATTCGGAGTCCATTTTTGTACTCATTCCGCCATTTTGTTATAATTATTCCATTGCGAACAGATTGGGTGTCTGAAATTCGGAGTCCATTTTTGTACTCATTCCGCAATTTTGTTATAATTATTCCATTGCGAACAGATTGGGTGTCTGAAATTCGGAGTCCATTTTTGTACCCATTCCGCAATTTTGTTATAATTATTCCATTGCCCACAGATTGGGTGTCTGAAATTCGGAGTCCATTTTTGTACTCATTCCGCCATTTTGTTATAATTATTCCATTGCGAACAAATTAATTGGGTATCTGAAATTCGGAGTACTTTTTTGTGCTCATTCAGCCATTTTGCTATATTCCACTGCAAACAAAATAGGTATCTGAAATTTGTATCTTATTTACTTGCTGTTACTTGTACTATATATTCACTATACAGTATTTTTTTTGAAGACAGTAAAAATATATTTTATAAATAAGGGATTTTGAGGAAATCGTAAAGGTAAACATAAAATTCTGCGATTTTGAAGGAGGGAAATTAACCTTTCCTCCGAATTTATAAATATTAATTGATTTTAAGTTGGAAATATATAAAGTTTGCAAAAATGTACAAAACCACTACTAAAAGCAGCAGTAAATTCTCTATTCCGCAAAATTGAAATAAATAATTTTTACACATTTTTACCAAAAACGAATTTCTCTTGCAAATTTAGAGGAAAATTATAGTGATTTAATGTATTTGGTTAAATTGTGCAGAAAAATTAGTCAAATTCTGCAAAATTAAGGATATTCTGTGTGAATTTGGTAGTTTGGAATTATTGAAAATAGTTTGGAACGCGTTCAAACATATTGATACGAAATTTTTTGAATCTATTTCCCATCGGCTAAGGAAGAACTGATTAAAATTTGGTTGAATTTGGTTAAAAATTGAACGAGAAATGAACAAAATTTTGTCTTGCTTTTCCCGGTCAATTAATAAAAACTCACCGAATGCGTAATTAGGACGTATATAATGTATGCACGCAGTATTAGGACAATAATGAGATGATAAACCTCATTAAGCTTCAGCCTTCATTATCTATTGTCTTAGTTGCATTTCACACGATCGAAATTCAATGGGGGCGGAGGTATGCAGTCTCCGAGTGCCCTCTAGTTATCACTGTAGCGATCACTCGAGAACCTTTTCAACTTATAAATCATAATGCATCACAAGAAGCGGCACATGATATGTACATGTATATTTGAAAATTTTTACAATTTCTACGAGTTTCCATAAACGTGCAGTATCATGGTCGTTTAGTTAATAACACTTTGGATAATACTTATATAATTTGTCTTTCATTTTCGTGCAGATAATGAACGTTTCAGCTCAGAATCCAGTGACTGCTAGACGTGAAGAACTGCTAGACGTGCCACCCGGCCATACACTCTTCAAAAGAAGAGCAGAGCCAGATGTATAGGAAAAATGCAATTGCAAAAAAATGCAATGTATCCTACAAGGAAGCAACAGTTGATGAAACTGTTCCACACCAGTTATTTACTGTGTGCCGCACTGATGGTGTCGAGGAAATGAAGACAGATATATTTTGGACACGTACAACAAAACACGCACAAACCAACAGGTGGGCAATTTGTCTGAGCATGCGCGAAGAAAATCAATATGGCGACATATATTTAGGAGTGTCTCGTGGCTTTATCTGGTTTTAAAGCTGATAAAACAACATTTTAATGAACGAAAACTTTGTACTATTTTGTGGAAAACATTAAGCTGTACAGTCCAAAGATTTGAAATTAAAAATAAGTACTTTTGCTTTATTTTATTGCTTTTTATGCTTTGAAACAAGCAAGCTCATTTTTTTGAAAAATTCTAATCTAATATTTCACCCATCAGTTGTCTAATCTGAACAGAAATAGATAGAACACTTGGCTATATAAGTTATAAAAGTACTGTTAGCTGATCTGAAAGATTTCAGTATTCCTGGTACTCATTTTAACAAAGAATGAAATGTAATTTTATATGCATATAGAAAACAATAGTTTTTATTAGAACAACATAGAATAAGTTGTTATTTTCTATTTTTACAAAAACAAGTTTGGAAACAGGATTTAGTCCTCCAGCTTGATGTCATATTCCATTTATTTGGATATTTGAATAAAGGAATGTGAAATAATAATTGAAACTTGACCAAAATTTGATACCAACACTCAAGTGAACAGATACTATCACCTAAAAATAAAAGAAAACAGAACCTAAATTTATCATCTAATGCCATGAGTAAATCTTAGATACTACAGGCATATAGTGAGCACAACACTTTAACAAACTCACTAAAATAAGTTAAGTTATGCTATGATAAGAGGATGGCAATATATGACAACATCAAATGTCACCATATTCAGTGTCCAAAAAAAGTGCCGCGCACATTTTTCGTGGTCACATAACTGGTATTGCCACAAACCCAGGTAAAAAAAAACAATTAGAAAAACCTGGTTTTGGATGATGAGCATAGTCAAATTCTTGACTTATTCAACTTTCTAAGTTTTTCCAGGTAAACAGATTCAACATTGAAATAAGCCCCATTCGGGACCTCATAGAATCCAAACTATTGTGTATCGACCAGATTTTTTTCAATTTTCTGTGATTTACATGACACTAGTTATAATTTAAGGGTCAACCAGTATTGTTCAAGACATATTTTCCTTCCAGAACACCTTTTCAAAATACTAACCCAAACATGTCAAAAATAGTGTACATTTACAAGGGCAATTTCAACCCTTTGGCACATTTTTCCCATAATAAAAAGACTATAGATAAAACTTTGATTTAAAGCTAGTTTCAAGTGATGAGCATACCCTAATTTTTAAGCTATACCTCAAAGAAGATAGGTCATTTCAACATAAACATTGAAATATGGGTATACTGACAGCTCTGTCACACTTGTAGTTTGGCATTAACAGCCCTTCTGAAACATTTTAATGAAAATATAATTCACAAAATTCACATTTTCACTTACTTCTTAACATCTGTTTTAATCCAACTAGCTCTGTAGGCACGAGCAAAATCTAGTGTTGATGTAAATATCCATTTAGTTCATGTTCCCCAGGTGAAAATATAGTCTATTCCAAAGCTGGATTTCGACGTACTTTAGCTTTTCAGAAACCGTTGGCCTTCCTCAGTAAGATTATCAACTGTTTCACAAACATATTTGATAGTAAACAGCTAAAATATTCTCTGAAAGTCTATATTTTTCACACTTCGACGCGAAAATGGCAACTCGAGAAGAAATGAGCCGCTATTTTTGGTCAGCTTCGACAAATTGCCCACCTGTTTGTAACATCCGGGAGTTAGCACTTCCGGCGGGAAAAACGTGACCTCGAAGAGAACTAGACAGCTGTATTAACTAGGGAGTTTTACTTAGCATAGTTGGGTTTTAAGGTTAAAATACTACATTTGGCGACGAGATAAAATGGCAAATCATGGAAAACTAGAAGAATATGACTCACAAGAGGAATGGAGTCAGTATATTGAGCGGTTGGAATTTTATTTCGAAGTAAATGGCGTGGACGACGAAGATAAACAACGAGCGATATTATTAAGTGTTTGTGGTAGCAAGACATATAAGTTGATTCGGAACTTAACCACGCCGAATAAACCGTCAGAGAAGACGTTTGCAGAGCTAGTAGAACGTGTACAACAACATCAACACCCAAAACCGTCGGCAATAGTGCAACGATTCAAGTTTAATACTCGGTTCAGGAAACCTGGTGAGTCAATTGCTTCGTATGTAGCTGAATTAAGAAGTCTTTCAGAACATTGTGATTTCAAGAGTACCTTAGAAGAGATGTTACGTGATCGGTTGGTGTGTGGAATAAATGACGAACAGATTCAGCGTAGATTGTTAGCAGAAAGTTCTCTCGACTTTAAGAAAGCCATGAAAATAGCTACATCAATGGAGACTGCAGTAAAGAATACACGAGATTTGACACATCAGATGGCCAATGCAAATATAAATACTGAGAAATCTGCAACATTACACCGTGTGGACAACCAAGGACAAGGAAACCAACCATGGTCAAAGCCTGAATGTGGTCGGTGTGGGGGTAAACATGACCCGCAACAATGCAAATTTCGCGATGCTGAGTGTTTCCTGTGCCACAAGAAAGGACACATAGCAAGAAAATGTCGAAGCAACACTAAGGCGACTGGAAAACATCAACGAAACGACAACCCTAACTCAGGCACTAGCAGCAACTATTTAAACATGAAGGATGACGAGATCGAAGAGGAAGACGACAACTATGGGATTTATAGTCTGGGCAAAGGGCAAGCTGAGCCATATGTTGTTGATGTACTGGTGAGCAATGAAAGTC